CGACGAGCTTGTTTTTCCCAGTCTGACAGCCGCTTCATGTTCCTTTCTACGTGTCCTTAACGCCCTTCCTGTCTCGCCAATGTACTGAGTACTACACTCACCACAGGGAATCCTATAAACAACCCCAGATTGTTTTTCATACTCCACCGGATCTTTAGGTTTGGAGAGGATCTGTCGTAAAGTCTTATCTGGTTTAATACAGCATTTGATGTTATGCTGCTGTAAAATTCTTTGAACTCTTTCAGTAGTACCTTTTACATATGGCAACACAGCAAATCCTTTCGTCTCATCCTTTCCCTCTTTAACTCCATTGTCTTTCTTCCTAATAACACTGTGCCGTTGAATGAACTTCTCAGGATAACCATTCTTCAACAAGCTCTTCTCAAGGTGCTCTTGTTCCTTTCTTTTTGATGTTTCGTCAGAAAGCAGCGATTCCTTCCTGTATGCGAGAGTGTGGACCACTGCAGCCTTGTGCTTGGACGGGTGGTGGCTATCAAAATGCAAATATCTGTCCGTATGGGTCTTTTTACGGTACATGGACACTTGTATAGAGACATCCTGATTCACCGTATTGAGAGTATCTAGAAAGGGTAACCCCTTGTCTGAGTATCTCTCAATTGTGAATTTGATCTTCTTGTATTGGTCATTAAGACACTTATGGAAGTCATCGATGGAATGGTCCTTGTGTATGATGCAGATGGTATCGTCAACATATCTTTTAAAGACCTTTGGAGCTGAAACAAATGTAGACAAAGCTCTAGACTCAACTATTTCCATTACGAGGTTTGCAACAGTCACAGAAATAGGAGATCCCATTGCTGTACCATGAATCTGCTTATAGTATTCGCCTCTAAAGCTAAATTCAGTAGAATTTAATAGGGACAAGGGGCGGATGATCCCGCAAAATTATCTCTGTGTAATTAGAAGTTAGTTACCGCGCACGCTTATTAGATCTTCTCAGAGCGCGCGCTCATTGTTTTTATGTTGTTTTGTAAAATGTAACGTTTTTTCATTAGTCTTGATAATGGCTCGGTGAGCCGAAAGCTCGACGAAAATAAATAACTTTTAGGTTGAAGTAGCGCTTACATCGTAAGCATAAAAATCGATGTTAAATAAGATTTTTGGAGTTGAATCGCGATAAAATCCACTTTCAAGCTTTCGATAACAACAAATATCTTGTCCTGGGATGACGTCAGAGTCAGTCCCAGTCTTTCCCGGTATTGAGACCAAAAAAAGAGCTCAAAGTGGACATTTTCCAATGTTTGTAAGCTCACCAAAAATTCGCTTTTTTATAAAAATGAAAAATTCTTTCACAGATATGTTTCCATTAACCTCAATTTTCATTTTAAAGATTAAAAAAAAAAAAAAAAAAATCGTGAAGATGCACTTTAACTGCAATTGGTTGACATCCAGCATTGGTCAATGATCAGGTATCAAAGCTGAGACCTTTGCTAGGGTCATGGACCTTTATATCTGATAAAGGTCACCCTTATTAGTATTCTTTATATAAAGAACACTTATGAGGAGTGTTTTATCAAATACAAAGGTCCATGCATATGACTAAATAGGCTCATTCTATTGGCCTAATAGCTCATTAATTATGTATGAGTTTTTTGAAATAGAACTAAACGTCAAGCAGTCGATGTTTTTTGTAAAAAATTGTCGTAACAACTTTATTTTCAATTTTTAATACAACAGCGGAAATGCAAGAACTAAACGTCAGGCAGTCGATTTTTTTTTTGTGAAAAGTCGTCGGAACAACTTTGACTTCAATTAATAGCACAAGACAAATGGAATCAAAACGGAARAAATAATATAATAATAATTCATTGCTGCGCTTTTTGGTTACCAAGTCACCATATTTGGTATGTCACGCGATGAATCACGTGTTGCTTGAATGATTTTGTAATCTGTTGCGGTCAAGATGGCGTTATGTGCAATTTGTCGTTTGTTTATTGTTTTTTTCCTATAGACCTAACTATACTTTTGGTGCAATTATTTTCCCCGTCAAATCTTTTCTGTTGCATAACTCATTTGTTTTACGACTGAAACACTGACTTTTTCTCATTAAAATAAAAAGTCTATGAAGATATCGACCTGCCATTCATTGGCGCTGTGATTGATTAAAAAGATTAGGCTTTGTTAGTTAATTAAACACATGATACTCCAGGGGGTGCCTTGATTTGTCTAAATTTAAATTCAGTTTGAAGCACCAGTTCAGAACATGTTTAGACGCTTAAAGAACTTTATCTAACACACAACATGGAAGCTCAGAACAAGTGGTCATGCGCCTAGTCGCAATTGACAAAAAAACAACGACTTGACAGTCTCCACTATTTTGTCGATTTTTTATGCTATTTTCGCATGACTTCCACGTCTTGCTACATACGTACACGACGATACGAAACAGCCATGGCATGGTTACATATTGTTAGTCAAAGCCTTCTTTTTCGATTACTTGTTGCCGTAGTAGCAACAAATCTCATCATTTGGACATACAAGAATCGAATACCACGCGATTTTGCACACCCTTTCGTTGCCGTTCGTACAGCCTAAAAATGTGACTGTAACTACTGAAAAGCCAAATAACATCTCAAAGAGAATTCTTTTCTATACATCGTGGTTTGGAAAAATTCTTAGAGGTTTCCCTCTAGATAAACCACACCCTTATCATCCCACTGGATGCTTTCAGGAGACTTCTTGATCCACTGCAGAAAACCCTCAGCTTGACGAGACTGGGCTCGAATGGCTCCGAGTAAGACGCTCGAATTTGAGCTCCGAGAGAAAACTCATATAACCCTAACATTTTTTTAAATGAAATCATCCAAGAATCACTCCAAACGAAAGAAGAAAACTAACTCAAGTTCTTATAGCATCTCAATAACCTCTCCGCTTGAAAAGAAAGCTAAGGAAAAGGAGTGCTCTGACGACGAGGTATTCCAAGCCCTCGATATGGCCGGCCATGTTGCTGCTAAGTTGGACGATATAACATCAAAGTTAGACAGACTGAAGTCAATAGAAGAAACTATACACAACGTTGCTGGATCAATTAAAGCTCTCGAGCAAAAAATAGAGAAAGTTGAAGAGAATGTCAAAGAAATAAAACAGGAGCAGCAGGTTATGGACAAAAGTCTTGAAACGATGAACAACGAAATTCAACAGCTCAAAAACGACAGGAAAAGAGACGAATTTGAATATTATGGATTCCAGGAAGAAACAAAGTCTGAGCTGAACAA